ACATTGATTGGGAACTTCTCCACTCCAGAGAGCGGGCACATCGTGAGTGATGCTGCGGAGCGGCGGGGAAACACGGAGCGGATTAGCGGAATCGGCGGATCTTTAGCGGAGCGGTAACAGAACGCTTTGAGCTGGGGGGATGGGGGGATTGGTGAGAGGGGCAACTCAGCCGATGAGGGCAAAGGGGCAGTGGCTCTAGCCACCGGGCCACCCCCCTGTGCACGGCCCTGGTTGCAACCATTGTTCACTATCATTAGCATAGAAATGTACAGCACACACATCTACAGTAAAATCCATGGTCCTTTTTGTTAGATTTAAATTTTAGATTTAACTTTTTCTATATTGATATGAAAAAAAAGTTGTCTTAGTAAATATGGTTGTCAGTCCATAAACACTAACCATGTGAATGGTTAGTGACTTAAACTTTTAAGAAATGTACTTAAGCACTTTAGCATATATGCAGAAGAAAACTGCATAAAAAAAAGAAAAAAAAAAGAACTTCAACAGGTTAATTAAGTTCTTGATTTGATATTAGTCAAGCATGATAGTGTTTTGTTTTTTGTTTTTCATGTACTTAAGTGCACGATTTGAACTACAGTACTTGCCAATACATGATTGATTGTTCTCTTTTAGAATAAAATGGTGGTGTTACCGACAGAGGAGGCTAATTTGTCTGACATTGATTACCTGGTACCCATGCACGATGAGAAGGGCAGACCTATAGCAGAATGGAAGAGACAAGTGATGGTACGACAGCTACAGGCCAGCTTATTTGACCAAGAAACCCAGAGGTTAAAGGTAGGCTACAAATATTGCATTAAATGTTTTAAATGTAATACATAGATAACAAATCTAAGATGATGTTCTGACTGCACCTTTCTCCAGGTTGACTTTTAACTGGACATTTTGTCTTATTTAACAGGAGAGTGGTACTAGATATACAAAGATGGACAGTTGGAGGTACTCCCAGGCTCACAATGCCATCCTGGGTCCATTCGGAGAGCTTCTAACAGAGGATGACCTCATTTATCTAGAGAAGCAAATTGTGAGTGTCTCGATGCAAAAGAACTGCGAGGGTTACGAAATGGAGCTTGCTCGTCTGGCTGAAGAACTTCGAAACATTCTTCCGGCACCCATCGTCAACATCACAGTCAACACCCAGTACAAGAACTCTACACAGACTCCCTTACCCGTTTGGTGCAACCGTATTTCAGGCATTGTGAAGAGTATGTCATTGCTTATGACCAACCTAACAGACCAGCCCTACTGCAAAATGCCAAACACAGAGCTTGTGAATGTATTCTCTCAGCCATCAGAGAGGAAAGCCTTCAAAAGAGGCAGGAGGGAGAAGATAGAAAATGAGATTCAACAGTTTGGGGTCTCTGTGAGGAACTTAAAGTCCAACTTTGAGAATCAGAACGATTCCTCACAAAATGATTCAGGGATGACAGAATCATTGGGTGAACAAGAGCAAGAACCAGTAAAAAATGGTTCAGATGAGGTCTCTCAAAAACAAGAACAAAGACCAGAGCTTGACCAGATTGATGATTCATCTATCGACTATGTCATCAGTGATGCCATGGAAAGTACAACCCTGCGCAAGGAACGTATTGTGGTCTTGTTCCTGGGTCACTGGAAGAAGTCGGCTTATACGGTGACCTTGAGAAATGCTCAGAGAAAGCAAAGCATTGATTCGCTGGATATATCCAAGAAGCCCAAGTGTGAACGCAAAGCTAGCTTGGATATCTCTCCAAAGAACGCCATGGAAAATGGCAAATTGGGGCACTTCTTCAAGCAGAGAAGTGCCATCAATAAGATGATTGGGAACTGGAGAAGCATGATCTCATTTGTACCGTCGCGACAAATCCGAAGACTCAACCGGCAGCAGGCAATTTACTCACCTGAGCAGTTCCTGCCCCGTGTGGATGGATCTCCTGTCGACTACGACACGCTGACACTCGACCTCTTCATGCTTGGCTACTTTCACATACTTGAGCTAGATTTGCCAGCAGATGAGAGGAAAATGAGACACTTGCTGTGCTTTGAAGTGTTCGACCATGTGGGGCGTTTCACCTGGGAGACTGTGCGTGATTTTCACAAAGCTGTAATTCAGGACATTGAGGCGGGGAACCGGGAATGGAAGGATGGATTTGAGGACATTAAAGTAAAGTTCTTCAGAGATGGATCAGGCCAACCAGAGCTTGAACGCTCAGAAAAGACGACAATGGTAGAAACGAGGCCTGTGCCTAAAGTCATTATACAGACGCCTACCCCAGATGAGAGCGATGTCCTGAAAAATAATGCAGATATTAGTAGTCTGACTAATGAGGAGATTTGCAAATATATTGACCGTAGTTTTGCTTTCTGGAAAGAACAGGAGGCTGAGATATTTGATTTTGAGGAATGACAATAAGCCTTTATGGGGGGGGTACATAGAGACTCCTTATTATCTTTAAATATATGTATTTTTTTTTGCATTTGATGTAGAACTTGTACCAATATTTATACAGTTGAGACATGTAAGGCATGCTTTTGCCATTTATTCTCCAATTTTCTAGGAGTGCAAGGTAGAAGACTGCCATAAACCGAAGTGTTTGTCTTTTTGTCAGAATTATCAGTATGTGATTTAAAAGGATTTAAATGCCCTTTTCTGTTAAGTTTTTGTTACTCCTTGAGAATCAGATATTTAGAGACTTAATTTTCACCAATATTGGATGAATGCTGCTTACTCTAATGATTAAATAAATGATCATCTGACTGTTTACTCCTGTACAGAAAGTTGTGTGTATCTCTTTAAGAGCAGGTGGGAGCTTAACAGTACTATTTAGATTCTGAGTATAGCCCCCCCCAAGAATGACTGGCCTAAAAATAGCAGTGTGAAAGACAAGCATGCTGTCCTAGTGACTCTGCAAAAGACAGCGTGTCCCCCATCTCAGACAGCAGCAACAGAAAAGTCTCCCTTCTAAACAAGAACTGTGAATAATGTATGATTTCTGCTTTCATTCACGAGCAGGTAAGTTCAGTTCATGTTTTCTTGTTTTGTTGTGTTATAAAGAATTGTTTAACATCCACTGTTGTTTTGCCAGTGATATATTTTTGTGTGTAAATTCTCTCTCAGGCAAAGAAATGAATCTTGAATGGTAGTAAATTTCATTCTCAGAATGATACTCTCCCAGTGTGCCTATCAGATATGTTGTCTTTGGCAAGAACCTGTTTTTAACTCCGGCGATAATCGTCTGATAATTTGACTTATATTGATGTGCTAACATGACTTCATTCTCTTCCAATTTGTTTCTGAAATGTTCTGTTACCAAGCAGAAAGGCTGAAAATTTGTCCTTAGGTCATAGGAGGCTCCACATTGCTATGATCATGAATGTCGCAATCGAATTGCATGTAACTGATTATACCCATTTGTCTTGTCCTATGTAGGTAAACACTGAAAACATCTGTTGGCTGGCCCTGAATGCATTAAGGCCATAGGTCAAAGTGTCATCATGGTGCGTAATATAGACGATCTAGACTTCTGCCTCTCTTCCCATCCCCAGAGCATCTTAGAGGGCCTGCGCTCCCTCTGTTTTCAACCCAAACTTGTGGATGTCACCTTGAGCGCTGGTGGACAAGATTTCCCCTGTCACCGGGGAATCCTTGCACTCTGCAGCCACTACTTCCGTTCCATGTTCTCAGGAGATTTCGTGGAGAGCATTGCTGCTCGTGTCGAGCTTCATGATGTAGATCCCAATGTGTTGTCATCCTTGTTGGACTTTGCTTATACGGGGAAACTCACCATCAATAAAAACAATGTTGAGGGACTCATCTGCACATCCAGCCAGCTCCAGTTCCACACCGTCCGTACTGTATGCAGTCGATATCTGCAGCACCAGATAGATGCCACAAACTGCTTGGGAATCCTTGAGTTTGGCGAGATCCATGGCTGCCCTGAAATTGTCGCCAAAGCATGGAGCTTCCTCCTTGAAAACTTTGAGGCAGTGCAACAACATGAGGAGTTCTTGATGCTGGAGAAAGACAGGCTGGTGGCCTGCCTGAAGGATGAGGATGTGCATATAAGGGATGACCGGTCTTGCGTCAAGGCTGTTTTGGCCTGGGTCGGGCATTGTAGAGACAATCGGATCTGCCATCTGCGAGAATTGTTGGGCTTGGCTAAGCTTTCCCTCCTCACAGAATCCTACCTCACTGAGAACTTGCTTAAAGAGCCATTGGTGCAAGACTCACTAGAATCCACAGAGTTCGTAGAGAGAATATGTAGAGAGGTCAGACAAATCTCTTTTATATAGAAATTTCTTAAACATAATGTTCCGTACAACAAATTATTATTTTTTTTTTCCTTCAGAAACGAGAAATGAAAGGAGGTGAGTCAGAGCAGAGAGTGACTCAGAATGCCCTCAACCTGCAGGAGGTTTTATTTGTGATGGGTGGTCGCTCGCTGGATGACTCGGATGATGAAGATGAGGATGAAGATGAAGACAGAGATAGAAGGTTGCACCCCAGAAATTGTGGTTTCTACAACCCAAAGTTTGGTAAGGACAACTTCAGTTGACACATCAACTTTATTTTCCAATTTATAAAAGAAGAATTATGTTAAAATGGAGCACTTAAGATCTGATGTGCATATTACCGGTCAAGTTTGAACACACTATGGAGTAGAAAGGCTATAGAGGTTGTGGTTTTCCTTTTTGTCAAAAAGGTAGGAAAACTTGCAACACCCATAATTCACTGGGCTTGATCTAACTGTTCATAAGCAGGGGTACAAAATTGTAGAAGCATGATCTGGAGTTTTCGCGAAAGCATTGGAGCTGTCAAAACTCCAGTAGAAGATTCATTTTACGTCATTCGGTGGAATTTTGCTGACAAATAAATGGATGCTTCAATGCAAGTAACAGAGAAAGAGTACACATTGTTCATTTACATATACTACTTACATTGTAAAAATACATAGCTGGTTGAATGTCAGCAAAGTTACCCTTTAACTTATGTTTATCATAATCCTGGATATCTTTCCATCTAGAAGATTATGCCTAAAGGGATAGTTCACCCAAATATGAAAATTCTCTCATGAAAAATCCTCATGTCGTTCCAAACTCGTAAGACCTTCATTCATCTTCGGAACACAAATTAAGGTATTTTTGATTAAATCTTGAGCGCTTTCTGACCCTGCATAGACAGTACTGCCACTGACACGTTCAAGGCCCAGAAAGGTAGTAAAGACATTGTTAAAATATATAAATAAACTGTTCATATACAGCTTGAGTAGCAATATTGTGTTTAGTTTTAACTCTTTCTTCAATTTTGTATTTTTGGTTAAGGATAAGAAGCACTTCATCCGGTACTTAGTGTCCTTCATTCCAACATAAGAAAACATTTCTGGAATCTGCATCTGAAATAACATTTAGATGTATTTACACAGTTTATGTATCACAGAGGGGACATGGATGCATTTAAACTGCATTTACAGATGCATAAATAGGTCTAATGTTTTGTTTGTAACATAAAACGTTGAATACTGATATTTGAAATAATTTAAAACATGATATCGCCACTTTAACCTGCAGAGACGTTGATATTGTTTTTCACGTGCTCTTTTTGCAAGTTCGGATTACGTGAGTTCTCTCTCACACAAAATGGCGGACGACGAGCATGAAGCAGCTGCAGTACAGAGAGACACACATGTTGCAGATGCAGCAAACCCACATCTGCCATTTAAAATTGACCTTTCTCGTCCTTTTTCTGGAGACGGTACAGAGCCTTTTAGTGCATGGATACAGAGATTCGAAGTTCCACTTAATGTCTCAGCTGTATCCCCGGATAAAGCCAAACTTCTCCCTGTGAAGCTTACTGGTCCGGCATTTGCATATGGGAGAGAATGATCTAGACAGTTGTGAGAGCGTAGAGGGAGAGATGACACGCTCTGTGTAATCGGATGTGGCTGATTCATGATGTTTACCTCTTCATGTTTAATAAATCAAGTGTTATGATCTGCCGAGCTCCCTGTCGGTGTCCTCCTTGGATCAAAGCCAAGAACCCACGAGCCAGAGCGTGGTAAGAACTGTGACGCTCATATATAGAAACAACACGCGTTACACTTGTATAAGATAATTATTAAATGTGTTTATGCTGAAAAACTGTACTCTTTGTGTGATATAGATTAAGTTAAATATATTCAATTATATAAGTATAAAAAGCACACAGAAGCATTTTTGCCGTCTACAATTTAGAATGCCTGGAATTTTGAGTTTTAATAGATAAATTAACGTGCGTGCACTCTGTGTGATCTGGTGATATAGCCTACTTGATAATGTCAGATCGCACATCATTACAACAACACTTACCATATTATCGCAGATATACTGTATATCGCACACCCCAGCCTCAACTTTGACTAAAAAAAGGAAATTATCCGCGGTTGTGTGCGCACTTGTTTGCACGTGAGCAAAGGTGTTTTTAGGAGTCTAAAAGCGCCAGACCACTGATTCGTCAAACCTGCTTTCCTGCAGTCCGTGTTCTTCTGACTTCTGACTATTTTGTAGTAAGTAACGAATATGCTTTGGGAAAATGTATCGGAGTAAAAGTATACATTTTAATTAGGAAATGTAGTGGAGTAAAAGTAAAAGTTGGTTGAAATATAAAAACTCAAGTAAAGTACAGATACTCCCAAAAATACTTAAGTACTGTAACGAAGTATTATTACTTCGTTACAATACACCACTGAGTCTATGTGACATCAGTGGTTCAACTGTAATGTTATGAAGTGACAAGAATGTGTCAGTTGCATTGCTTTCTATGCAGTGTCAGAAAGCTCTCGGATTTCATCAAAAATATCTTAATTTGTGTTTCGAAGATGAACAACGGGTTTACGGGATTGGAATGACATGAGGGTAAGTAATTAATGACAGAATTTTCATTTTTGTATGAACTATTCCTTTAAATGTTTGAAATGAGTTTTTGCATACACTGTAAAAAAAATCCCGTAAAATATACGGTAAAAAACCGGCAGCTGTGGTTGCCGGAATTTTACCGTAAAAAATACGGTAGCAACGTTTTAGGTTTTACGGATTTCTTTACAACACTAATATTGTAACTTTTAAATACATAAGTTGAATCATATAAGAAAAAGCAGTCAAAGCGAATTCCTTAAAAACAAAACAAAAAAAAAAAAACCTTCCCGGGATGCTTCACATCATGATTCTGGTTGAAAGTGCTTTTATTATTTAATATATTGCATCTTTCAATTTATTATCATTCTAAAATATTTAACAGTGGTTATAAAGTGTATGTCTGAACCTTTGACTATCAGTGTCAAAATAATCAATAGTCAATACCATGTACTAGCTGAATTGTCATGTGATAATGCCTCATTTACTCTGTTTCACTCTGCATACTGTGTACATTTGCATTTGTAAGATTG